GTATATATAGTACATACAATGGAGTACTATGCACACCTAAAAAGCAGTGATGAACGTATGAAGCACATCACTGCATGGGAAGAACTGGAGGAAAGTATGCTAAGTGAAGTGAGCCAGGCACAAAAGAACAAGTACAACATGAGTCTGCTGAGATAAGCTTAAAAATGCAAAAGGGGCATGGGGAAAATGCTACTGTATACATCGATTCCTAGGGTGAGGTCCAGGTAGTATAGCAGGGGCCAGACCAAATCCAGGGATACCTAAGTTAGCCAACTAAAAAGGAGGGGATAAAAAAAGAGATCGGTAATGGGGGAACAGGGCACTAATGCACTCAACGGGAGGGTATTGTTTGTATCTCCACAGGGAAAGAAAGACCAAACTTCAACCCGGTTCTCTAATATATGAATGCAACATACCGGCATGTACCAGGGAACCAATAGAGTGGTCTGAGGGGCCAGTTCCAATCCCAACTATGTGGAGAGGCCCTCCCTCCCCCCAGAAGAATTCACTTCAGAGGATAGCACTGAAGCTACAGTTTAGGGAGAGGGACATGTCTGATCAGAGCACACAGGAGCAAATGAGAGGGCGAAAGAGAGTGAAGCACAATCTGGCCCACCCAGCCCCGAGGACGATATTCCTGCTCAGAGCAGCCAATACACAGAGAGGACCATCGGGCTGGCCCCACTAGAAGACACGACGTCCCTCACTGACCCACACACTACAGGGGACAACACTGGAGACATAATGTGGGAATTGAGCCCGATCTGACTCTACCACACCAAGGCGAAACACTAAGGGAATGCAACAGAACAGCACGGGAGCAGAGCTACGAATTCCCCAGGAAATACCAACAGACTTCAGGGCCAGGGCGTGGCACCCCATCACACACTTGACTGGAAAACACTCCTAAAGGTCAACAAACAGATCTTGAACTATTTACAGGCCTTTTTGTCATTGGTTTTTGTTGTTTTGTTTCCTTTTGTTGCTTTGCTTTGCTCTGTCCTGCTTTTTTGTGCATATTATTATCTCTTCATGTCTTCCTAGATAAGTGGGATAAACAAACTGGAATAGGAAACAATGGAACCGATGGTTCCAGGGCGACATGGGAGAAGGGAAGGCAGGGGAAAGGAAATGGCTGTTAACAAACTCAGAGGAAAGGGAACAACAAAGGATCTAAAATCAATGGCGAGGAGGGTGCAGGAGTTCTGGTACGGTTTGATCAAAGGCAATGTAAACAAGAGAAATTGCTGAAACCCAAATGGAAGCTGAGCAAGATAGTGGGACAAGAGGAAAGTAATAGTAGGCAAAGGGCATTTATAGAGATCTAAATACAGGCATGTATTTATGTAAATATATTTATATGTGACGATGGGGAACTAGATCTATGCACATATACTTATAGGTTTAGTATTAAGTAAGCGGGTGAATATTGGGCCTCTACTAAATTATCCCTCAATGCAAGAACACTTTGCTGTATTAATCTGGCATTCCATAATGTTCACCTTCCCAACATGATCACAGAAGACAAAGCAGGTTCACAAGCAAATGTGGCGAAGAAAGCTGATGGTGCCCAGCTATCAAACTATAGAGTATCTGGGGTCTTAAAGGCTTTAAGACAAAGAAGTGGCCATCTAGCTGAGAAGCAACAAA